GAGAGAGAGAGAGAGAGAGAGAGAGAGAGAGAGAGAGAGAGAGAGAGAGAAAGAGAGAGAGAAAGAGGAGAAGGAGAAGAAGAGAGAGACAGAGAGAGAGAAGGAAATACTTCTTCTTTCCACTTAAATTTAGTTTCTTCAGACATTGGTCTGATTTGATTTTCCACCCCTCCCTACTCTGCTCTCTGACATCAAAGTATTTAATTAGGTCTTATGTGGGAGTCACTTTCCTTCGGCCTATTTTTGTGCCCAGTGAGCTCACATTATGCTTTGTTATAATGAATTTTCTGGGAAGTTCTCATTATGTGTTCAGCCTCAGATCTTGCCCTGAAGAGAGGTCATCTCACACACCATAAGCTGCTGGTGGAGACCCTCCCCCCGCCACTCCATCCTTCCCCTGCCCTGTCTTTGGTCAGTATATCAGAAGTATCTTCACAGAGGAACAATTCAGGGTTGTGCCATGATACTATTTTATCCAGCAGAAGAACTAAAGTGGGGACACACACTCTGCTGAATTAAAAAAAAATAAAATAAAATCAGTTCTGAGCATTGTATGCTTCAAGCTTCTGTGGAATAGAACTTCTGGAAGCGCTGAAATTCTCAACTGAACCAAGAGCCAGATACCAGCACAGAAACTTCTACGTGGCTAAATATAAAAAGTGAGAGGTTTGGTAATAATTCTTGGATCCAGGCCATACAGGTGCCGGGTAGGTTTAAAGGGATTTAAAAACCAACAGGGTGTTTCAACAGGAAAAACAATGCAGTGGTTGCAGTGTGAATGAGGTGTGTTTAAATAATTCCCCCTCCCCCCATTTTTCTCTTTTACAAGGAGAGAAAAATGCCTTTATGTTACCCTTCTCCGTTATGGCACAGAAGCAGAACAGGACGCCGGAGGACGGCGGATTGAGGACCAGCTCTGGTTGTTTGACTGTGCACGAATCCCCGAATCAAACAGAAACCAGTGTGTAGAAGGGATGTTTTTTTTAACACCTGCCTTACCTTTGTACTACATATTTTTTCTGAGAAATACAAATAATAATAGCAGTAAAAATGCAATGAATGTTGTACAAGCCTGACAGAAAATGGGTAGTATTACTGTGAAGCACCTTGTAATAAGACTCTCTCGTGATATCCCCGTGACATAGCCAAGCTCTCTATTTCGACTGAGAACAAGAGTGAAAAGCATGGTTTGTGTGCACATTGTCCTTTCGGGAAGCGCAGGGGACCTTGTCGGGCCTGCAGCCTCTCCTATCTCCTGATGTTTGCTGAGGACTAGAGGTGAATGGAGGGTGAGCTAAGATATAAAGTGAAGGCCATTGTGGTTGTTGGAGACAACACCTAAGGTCTTTATGCCATCATACTGGTCACTGACACAAGTATGCGTTGAACCTATGTTTTGCTTAGCACAATAGCAAGGTCCCACAGTAGTTCCCAAGTCCGGCCGTGCATCGGAATCACCGGGGAGCTTTCCAAAGTATGGATGCCTGGGTCCCCCATCAGTTCCTACATCAAAATTTCCTGGAAAAGTCCTGAAAATTGTTTTAAAAGATATTCAGGACTCTTGAAGCTGCTAGGCTGAGGACCTATGCCTGGGAATCAGTGATTTGAGATTCCATGTGAGCAAAGCAGATGGTCGGTTGCTCCCCACCTGGGCATTCTAGGAAGGAGGAAAGTCTTCTTGGGATGGCGAAGAGGAATCCCCCCACCGGCCCCAGCGTGGTCTCTGAGCTTCTAGCCAGTCTCTCCCTCGGAGCCCATGGTCTGCTTTATGCAGCACCCCACCTGGGAGAGCCCTCTCAGCTTGCCCTTGCTTTCTTTGCTACATGTCCTCAACTCTCCTCAGATGAATGCAGCCTCTCAAATGCCTCTTCCCTTCACCCCCTCCCTTCTACTCCACTTCTCTAGCTTTAGTTCGAATTCCTATTACCTTCACGAGGTCTTGCTTTCTTCTTGCCCTCTACGAGCTATTCTTCACAAGTGGAACCAGGATTCTCTTTGTACAAAAACAGATGTATTTCTGGTATCTCCCTACTCAAAGGCGCTCAATTCTCCCCCCACTGCATGGAGAGAAAAGCCAACGCTCCTTGCTTGGCCTTTGGTTTCTTTCCCACAATACGCTTCCAACTAATAATTGATCTTTCTAGCCTCAAGTTCTACACCTCTACTGCCAAAACAAATACGATGTTCACATTGGGTAAATTATGCAAATTTATACCAAACACTCTTCTAACTCCATGCCTTTCTGCAAACTATGCCTACAGCCTAGAATGCCCATGTCCACCATATTCACCCACAGCAGACCTACTTTAGAGTCCTCCTTCAGAGTCCAGCCTAAATCTCACATTGCCAAGAGACTCTTATGGTTCCTTGTCAAAACTGACTTATTCCCTCTCCTCTATTCTTGAAACACTGTCTGACTTTATTTTTGCTGTATCTATCTTCCCTGTTAGACTGTGAGTTGGCACAGCATAGGAGCAGGTATTATTCCTTTTTGTGTCAGCTCCTGCATAGTGTACACAGTAGGTGCTCAATAAATGTCTATTGATTGGCCTATCAATGTACCTATTTATCTTTGTAGAAACAATGAGAATGAAGATTAATCTGTAATCACTATTTCTCAAGACTCAGTGTCTTTTAACCTGGAAATGAACCCCTATCAGAACTTTACATTTCTGTCTTTTTGTCAGGAGACATTAACATGGAGACATGACAAGATATTGGACATTTGCAAAGTAAATTATTTCAGGACAAATGAACTGAGACTCTCAGGTCACAAAGCCAGGCCTGGACTTGCTGGACCCTGTTACTCAGTGACTCACAGAGAGAACCACAATATGACAGCCTGTAACCAGATTTTCACAAGAGAATGCAATGGGCACAGAGTAAGGCCTTGAAATACGACTTTTAGAGTTCTTCTTTCTTACACTTCCTGATCTTTCCCCTAGTAGGGCAAGGCATCCACTTGCCTTAAGAAGGAGGATTGTTGGGAGAAGGTCCAAGATGGTAGATGAGAGAAAAAAAAAAAAAGAATAAGGATTGTTGTAGTAGGACTACAAAAAGAGAAAAAGGTAATATTTCGTGTTTTTGGTTTTCAAATTAGACTCTTCCATATATTACATCAGTTAATCTTCACAATCTTTGAAGTAAGAACTCTTATTAGTCCTAGTTTACAAATGAATTAACCAAAAGGCTAAGTATAAGAAGGGATTTTTTTTGTTACATTCCAGGGAACTCAAAACATTGCCTTAGGGCATAGTTTTTCTACTGATATTTCTAAGGGTCAGTGAGTAGGCAAGTGGAGATGTCCAAGGACTTCCTGAAATTATAAGCACTGCTTCTGTGTATGTGTATATGGGCTTTTCTGGAGAGAGCATCTATAGATTTTATCAGGCTCATAAAAACTTAAAAACAACTTCATGAAACCATTTCCTCTACTAATAAATGTATAAAGTAAGAAAAGGGAAGTGCAGAGTTGAAAATATTGGGGCTGAAAATGGGAAACTCTCATGTTCACGGGGTTATCAGGCAATTCACCTCAGTGAAAAGATTTCTGCCTACGTTCCTGTTCTGGAGTCAGGGTACTCATACTTCACCCAACGTATGAACTCATTGGTTTTCAAAGTGTGGTCCCCGAACCACCATCATCAGTATCATTTGGGAACTTATTAGAAATGAAAATTTGGTTTCTACCCCAGGCCTACCGAATCCGAAACTTGGGATAATGCCCAACAATCTATTTAAATAGTCCTCCAAATTATTCTGATGACTGCTAACATCTGCGAACCACTGCTTAACTGAAGTTTATGGTTCATCTCTTTGGGTTCTTGGGCTGGATAAGTGATGCTCTAAGAGGCTCTGGATGTTCTGGGAAGCATTTTAAAGCTTTGTTTGGTAGAAGCAAGGCTTTGTTTCATGAAGGCTGTAGAACTAAAGGCAATGGTGTTAACTCTGTTCAATCTCTTTATCCCCAGCTCTGTCCAAACCAAGAATGAACATCTATGAGGTTGCTGGGTCTCAGTGATACCTATCACATAGTCCAAATGAGTCATTCTGTACTGGCTATTGGTAAATCACTCTAGCATTTTTGTCAATAACCATAATAACAAATAACAGTAAAGTTAATAGCAAAAGTAAATAGAAGCAATAAAATAGTATACATGTATGATATTTGTATTATCTTTCAGACCTTTCATTATGAGAA